TCATTGCTTATATATTTATGGATACAGTGGTATATTGCTGGTCTCAAAAACTGTTAAAAAATTATGTCACCTTTTTGATATTGTCATAGGTGAGTTGATGGAGTATGCAACCCTGATATTATCTCTTGCTAATTTACTGAAGGCTGTCTTCAATATACTTGTACCAAGACCACCTGCCGCCAAAGCGTACCATACAATTGTATCATTGAAATCCATGAACATCTGCATTTTGTTCATAGATTTTGGCAAAGGTTTACTTCTCATCGATTTCTTCACCACCAGCAAGGAGGCATGATTAAACATCATCAAACTTGTTTTATACCCCACGTCACGTTCGTAGCCAGCTGTTGGTGCTGAGTTTGCACGAACCACAATATCGTGCGCGTCTATCTCGCGTCCACAACTACTGTTTAATAGAATTCCAGAGTTACCGATTAAAGCGCACGTATCCTGGTGCGGTAGATATTCAGTAACATTTGCTTTTCCTAGTTCTGAGACATTTTTCTGGAATATCATATCATCCACCGACGTAGTTCGCTTGTACACAATCACTGTCAACTTTCCATCAAAGTATTTCTTAATTTTTTTCCTTTAAAGAAGAATAACGGATATTATCAACAATACAAGAAATGACTTTACTGTAATAATCAAAACAATAATAAACAAAAAATAAAAATACCTCAAATTGTTTACTGCCGTCATGTTGATACCACTCCAATCAATGTTGACGGTACCGAAGGGCTTTGGCGGTCGCGATGCTTTTATGGTCGAGATGTTAGATAACCTTCCGCCACTAATTAAACGTGAAGTATTCGATCTTAAGTAACTTCTCATCATTTGATCTGTTAGCCGACTCCTAAAAAATAAAAATATTAGGTTTATTTATATATTTAACAAGAACCTTACATGGTTTATAATTAAAATGCTAGTTAATTTTTAATTAACATGCAATTTGGTTCTTGTTAGTTTTGTTGGTGATTCGTCTTATTGTATATGTAGGTATTTAAAAATATGGCTAGGCTTTGTTTGGTTATTATTTAGCTACGCAGAATTAAACAAGAAGATAGTCCAATATTTTATAGTTGAATAGATCATTGTTATTAAAATAGGCCTATAGTATTTCTCGAGTCTCATGAGGCTGACTAGCCTAAATTATATTACACACACCCAATTCATTGCTAGGCTAACCGGGCCAAGTGACTTGAGTTCTTTTTTCCAGATTGAGCTACTAGGTTACAAGACCTTTGACCCATCAAGTGCCTTGTTGGGTGATTCGTTTTTTAAATGTATTGTAGAATCACAAGCCAAGTCCATACGCATCCCGCCTTAAAACTCCAGTGATCTAGGTAGACGTATATGGCGGAATGTTTACGTGTTCTGATTGGCTAGAACCTGCAATGGACTCAACTTTTAATTACCTGCGATTAAAATAACTCGCGAACAGGCAACCCTTTGGAGATATAGGCCTATGAAACGAAGATACACACATCAGTTTTATAAATTAAAACTAGCAGATTTGGTTTTAGTATGACCAGAGGTTAGTTGATCCAGAATTATCAAACGGGGGGTGGGGCACAACAATTTCAGAATAGATATGCGAGAAGCTCATAATATTAATATGCATTGACATTTTTAAAATTTAGTGGCAAAACGGGGAAAACGTGCCCCCGTGCCCTTACTAGATCCACCCCGATGACGAGTTATTCTCTGTACCTAAATTTTAAGTAAACCAAATATTCGTCTCTCGATTCGGAGGACTTAGAATAGAACTTACAGTACCTTACAGAAGATGAATAATGTATAGGCATGGAGGCCCCTGGATAGCCTCTGTTGTGTAGATGTGTGAGTAAACATAGCCGCCAGACATCACAAAAAAAAAACGATAACAGGCTGGAATCGTCTTTATATTTAGGCCAGCATATTTAACACTAATACCGTATTTAACTAATTTGTGATTATTGTTAAAATAGTATTAAGCTTAATAATTTTATCTGGTTTCATGTTGGAATCCCAACACGATGACGTGCATTTTCAATACTTGGAGTATGTATTGTACTTTTTTTTTTATCTGGTTACTACTATAGTACAGGCTAAATGTGACAAAAATCCTATTTAACCTTAAACAAACTCTAATAAAAGGACTGTTTGCATATTCTTGTAGGCCTATATTTGAAAAGTCATGAACAAATTTTTGCCACCCTTTTATAGCTGTCTCTTATACACATCTAGAAGGTCAATTACCTGTATGCAGCATGTTCCAGGTCAGAACTCTTCAACTACTTGCTCTAAAAGCACAAAAATGGTGTCTACACCGAGATTTTTCGGGACAACAATTATGGGAAATTTTTGACGCCTTAGAGTAGCTGCATTTACCAAATATTCAGTGTCAAAGGTCAGTATAGCCTTTATATAGCAATTTCCAGGTTAAATCCTCAACTACTTGGTCTCAAAGCACGAAAAATTGTGTCTACACTTAGATTTTTGGGGTCAACATTTATGGAAACATTTAACCGCCTTCTAGTAGATGCGTTGACTAAATATTTATGGTCAAAGGTCAGTGACCTTTATACAACTATGATCGTCATAACTCGACCAGTTTGTCTAGATGCACAAAAATAGTGGCTACACCTAGGTTTTTGGGATCAATTTATTAAAGTATTTTTGCCACCTTCTAGTAGCTGCACTGGCTAAATATTCCAGGTTAAAGGTTACTGACCTTTATCCAATATAATATGATGGTCATAATTCCTCAACCACTTGGTCTAGAAGCACAAAAATATTGCCTACACCTATAGTAAGGCCTGTTAAGCGAACCAATCCTTCAAATTGTGATAACATTCTGAAACTTGGCACAGTTATTCATTGGGGTATCAACAACATGGAATTGAAGGGTAGCCCAAACTTTGGTCAGGGGAAAGTGGCTATTTTGGATTTCAAAATGGTGGACCCCAAATTTTCACTTTTTAGGTATATCTCAGCTGAAAGGCACCTAAAGGCTGTCTCTTATACACATCTAGATGTGTATAAGAGACAGGTATATATTATTGGGGTCAACAAACATTGGTATAACTTACATTTCGATTGCATGGTGGCCATTTTGAATTCCAAGATGGCTGCCATTAAATTGCATTACAACGCATATCTGAACTTGTAGAGCCTCAATTACGGTGAATGTTATCGGGTTTATTAAATAAATATATGCAATTACAAATACTGACTGAATAAATGTTGGCTCTTTTGAATTCAAAGATGGCCACCAAATACATGGTTTCAAGGCTTATTCTTTTATAACACCTTTATTACATGCAGTAAATATGGTGTAATTATTGGTCACAAGAAACATTTTGGATACAACCTCACTTATGATTTTTGATTTGGGAGACAAAGTCATTGTAATTGGCGTTAAGAAAACCTATTATATAGATATAACTTCTATTATGATTGCATTATGGCCACTTTGAATTCCAAGAGAGCCGCATTCAAATGAGTATGTCAATGCATATATCTTTAATAATTTTAGGGCTCGATTACAGTAAAATGGTGTATATTTTTGGAGTTTACAAGCATATTGATACAATATCCATTATGATTACATGGGGATCTTTTTAATTCCAAGATGGCTGTAATCTATTACCCACTTTACACTTTGGAATGTCTATTTTGCCCATTATGGTGTATGTTAGTACATTTAATGGAATAAAGTGTGCACCCATTGATCAACCATCTGTGAACTCTATTATAATAATAATAATTTATTGAATTTACACTTTTGTTACAGTGGCACTCGTCAATTGACGGTGCGTTCAAGACCAACAAATTTACAAAAGAAGTTACATTTAAAAAAATATAAAAGCACAAGCACAAAATTTGAAAGCCCCTTCTTATCATAACAATGAAACTTAAATTATACTACTTAAAGTAAATAAATACAAATACAGACTTATTTTCCTGTACAGTAATATGGCCAAAACTTACACACGCACATCTGGGAAAACACAATCCAAAAAGAGAAATATTGAGAAGAGGTAAACAAAAAAAAAAATAAATAAATAAATAAATAAATAAATAAATAAATAAATAAATAAATAAATAAAATTCAACATCACAACATAGCAAATCATTAAAAGAATACAAGTTTAATACCGGTATATGTACATGGGTACACATACACATGCATACACACATCTACAATACACACATATGCTGTATCTCTCATATACACATTCGGACGAGTAAAATTTAACTGGGTACCACCAGCTGAGCGGTCGCGTGCGGCAATTAAATAATGCCCCTGGGTATAGAAAATTCGAAAAACATCTGGCCCAAAAACCCACCTTTTTACTGGATATTTCAATTACACCTTGCCTCAAGGCGTAATTAATCACTCGTAACAAGGCCCAGGTCACAAGTTGACCCTTCAGATTTGTAAACAACGCCGGGTCAGAGTGCACTGGCACAAAATTAGGAATTCCGACCATGAAACAGGGAGTCGTCTTATACGCCAGACATACAAATATCAACCAAAAATCTCCTAAACACGGGGTCGTCCCACGGGTCACCTTATAGGACATACGCGAGTATACGGTATACTGCTTATTATGTAACCCCTGCGGAAGTTCGGGTTCCAGTCACATAATCAACGGTTGGTTGTAACTCGCAAGACTGCTCGTGACAGATTCTACAAGTGCGTGGTTGGCTGGGTTGTTTTAGTCAGAAAGGAGAAACTTTGTCTGTGAATTGATTCTCGAACGAGATAATGAAAGCTCTCTAATGACTCAAGCTACTGTATGACCGTTTTTATATTTTTGATAAAACCAATTTCTTCTAATTTTAAATACGTTTTCCCCTGAATTTGTGATAATTCGTTATTATGCAAGTGCTAAATGCGTGACACATTTATGATCTAGCATGTGCTTCTGCAAAATGCGTGTTTCATCCAAAATCACTTTGAAATTTAACGCGGGACTCTCCCGCACGATGCGTGACGGTTGGTAACTATGGCATAGATAACTGCCGGGCCCTAGGTAAAATTGGTAAAAATGCACCTGATCGGACCTAGAGACACTGAGCCTTTAGTGGGGTCTACTCAGGCGAAACTCTTAATGCTCATACATTCTGAGATATTTTAAAACAGATACAGCATTTCAGAAATATCTAAAAAAGTATTTTGTTTAAAAGATTCAAGAATATTGAGAACAAACTATGGTAAAGTTATATAAGCCTATATGTTATCGTTTAGGGCCTATTAGGCATTTCATGAATCTATGATATATTATAATATTGATAACATCAATAGAACATTTATAGGTGGAATTTTGTCCAACCCGTCGTGAAATGTAGGCCTACTGAATAGGCCTACTTAGTGCGTCTGAAAACACTTGTAAAAATGGTACTCGCCGCTACTTGGGCTCGAATTCAGCCCTGGCCATCAGGTGCAAGCTCGGTGGTCTAGAGGTATGATGCCAGACTAGTGATCTGGAACTGGAGAACTGTGTTCGAGTCCCACTGGAGAACAACTTTCACACGCACTGATTATTCAATACATTTTCACGACACATATTATAGTCCCCCTAATTGATTCTCCTGACGCAAATCCAGGTATTGTTTATTCCATCACGATAATAACAATTACCATTTAATAATAGAACAGTCGACCTACTTGCAGTGAAGTGAATCTAAAATGTATTTATGAAGTTATGATGATCTGAAGTGTTTAAAATCGTACACAATAATAGCTGAACCAACTTTAAAATACCACAAATACAAATGTGCAAATTTTATTGCTTTAGAAATGTGATTTCAAAAAGTATATTAGTGCATTACGCACTGAGTAGGCCTATTCAATACATATTCACACAGGTTGGACAAAATACATATAGGCCCCCTAATTGATTCGCCTGACGGAAATCCAGGTATTGTCTATTCCATCACGATAATAACAATTACCATTCAATAATACAAATAATACAATAGTCATCAACCTACTTGCAGTGAAGTGAATCTAAATGTATTCTTGAAGTTATGATGATCTGAAGTGTTTAAAAACGTACACAATAATAGTTGAACCAACTTTAAAATACCACAAACACATATGTGCGTGACGATATTTTATTGCTTTAGAAATGTGATTTCAAGAAGTACATTAGTGCATCGTATGTAAGGGCTTGTTTTGTTGGGGGTTTTTACTTGCAGCGTGTGGGAAATTGGTAATAGGTAAATTGTAATGAATATAATCAATATTATAGCCTCTAAAACCTAATTATTATTATTTTAAAGTTTCTAAAACCTAATATTATTGAAGGGTCCTTTTAAAGTTTAAATAGGATTTTTTAAAGTTATATTTTTAGATCATTAGACCAGATTAGACCTATTAAACGAGCCCCCAATACTGCGCTGCCCATACCTACGCCAAGACTGGACCTGAGTATTATTAGTGGTTACATAACGTTTGCTATGCATATATCATGCGCTAGAAGTGGAAGACCATAATGTATTGGGAATGTACCTCTCTCTGGTAGGGCCTACAGTACAATCATTACAAACATTTTCTTAATGGTAATGTTCAAAATAAGTGTCAAGGAAAGTAAGTATGATTGTTGGAAAAATGGTCAACATTTTATTTTGATTTCTCACCATGACCTTTGCCTGGGCGAAGTGGGCGAAGGTTTGGATCCGCATCTAGTTAGCATGAATTGTGTAAGCCAGGACCCAGTAGTATTTTGTTAGTTTCTTCACAGGGGGGGGGGGGGGGGGGTTTATTCGACTAAAATAGGGTTTTTTTATTCGTTTATTCAAAGCGGGGCGTTTATTCCAATACTACGGTTATCTTGTTCAAAATTACGCGTGTTTGTGTGTACTCATGTTGTCACACTGTATCCACTTCATCCATCCCCAATTAACTGGGTCCTGTTCAACTCTGAGGGCATCTAGACAGTTTTACCACTTCCTGGATTGTAGTACAGATCGTTTGACATGTTTCTTTAATGCAGCTGATGTTGGGGGGTATTCTCTACTGCCTTTCTTCAGTTGTAAATAGGTATCACCTTGCATCATTTACCTTCTTACCATCAAATGTGCCGCAGTACATAGCAACAACCAACTGTTCTAGTGTCTGTTTCACTAACATCTCCTACAGATTCTCTAGAATACTGGAGTCATACATGGCATCTTTTTCCAAGTTTCGTTAAATGATGGTTTACCTTACCTTGAACAGATTAAGTTGTATCACAACCGCTAAAGTAGTGAAAGGACAATTGTGAGCGGTTGATATCTGTGGTCCCAGAGAAGTAGCAATAGTGTGTATTGGAATGTACTTTAAGTGATTCCTCTCGATCCAAAGCTCCTGGATGCCATGCAGGTATTCTGTGGAAAGCTGACAACTCAATAGCAGCAACATCACTGTCTACAGTCTTGACAAGAATGCGTGGACAATTTTCAGCAGCATGTTGAACATGAACAAACATACGTTCATCTGCCTCTTCCATACATAGCAATAATGGTTGCAGATCTACATACTGGTTTGCTACAACTCCGTCTCCCAGAGACTCTACAAACAATCCGTGGTTTGTGTCGATGTTCTCAACTACTTTGTTTACAATTAATGGAAACACTCTGATTTGTTGTCATCACATCTCAGGAATGTAGAGCAATTGTTGGGCATACTCCCGCTGGCTTTGATGACCCTCCTCACACCAAAGCCGCGGTTCGAACGCGTACCAGACTTTAAACTGTCTTTAAAGTATGTGTGTAGCGTAAAAAAATTCGACATCAATCGGAATCGATGCCGAATATTGACTAATATTGTATATTTTTGGAAAATATTTCAGCCGTTCCAAATCTCTATTCTATTCTTCCTTTATTCTTTCACAATTTGCATTTATTCATACTTTTTATTCATAATTTTATACACTACACACATAGGCTAGTCAATAGGTTTAGGCCTAGACTATGCCTGTTACTATATTATTTAAATATACAATTTTAATAGATAATATTAATTTAACATAGACATAGTAATTCATACACTATTTTTTGTGCTTTTAGACCAAGTGGTTGAGGAGTTATGATCATCATATGTTGTATAAAGGTCATTGACCTCTGACCCTGAATATTTGGTCAATGCAGCTACTAGAAGGTGGCAAAAATGTTTCAATAAATGTTGATCCCAAAAACCTAGGTGTAGCCACTATTTTTGTGCATCTAGGCGAACTGGTTGAGGAGTTATGACA